AATTAGGTACGCCTTGACGTATAATTGGGTGTCCCTTCATTAATAATTAGATATACTTAACAGAATGAGTGACACGGTGTGGTAACTCCTGTTTATGTAATGTTCCGCTGAATCCGATCGTACTTCAACCTATGACGTGTAAACACTTGGTTCGTTATATCACATTGTATCATTTCTGTGTTATCTCGCCTGCTAGTGGTCATTTTAGTAAAACATATATATCCCCTGTCACTGCCGCGGAGGTAGATTATTCAGAGAGGGTAGGCGTTCATCTGTTTGTCTGAACACATCCAAGAAACACGTCTTGGATTTTAACCAGACTGTGTGTGTGTGCCTTGACCCAGGTTGACGGCCCTGGCATCTAGTGGGGTGGATGTTTATCTGAAATCTCGACTTTACTTTGCATTAGGATAACAACAACCTGTATTCACAACCTTAACTAGTATTTTTTTTTTATATAATTTTAGCAAAGTTGAGAAAAGTTATCGTCTCAGTGCAATGGGAGGAGAGTAAATATTTACCTTGTGGTTTAAATGATCGGATTTCAACATTACAGAGGTACACCACTATGACCGCAGTAACTGATACCAGCCTCAAGTACATAGCCTGAGCCACAACCATTGATAAGCTTTGTGTATCTAAACCACCCGATAGTGTCTTATCTCTGGGTTCTAAGCAGCTATTTTGTTTACTGGGCCTGATTGTTGATTGTACATTGTAATATAGTTACATTCATCGAAGACCTCGCTATATTTATTAACAAGAGCACCGCCAACGTGATATCAATACTACGCTTGGGCGAAAATTAATAGACCCCGTCATTGTAGCGCAGAAGTTTTATATAAGTAAACATTATTAAGCTCGCGGGAAGAAAAAGATAACCACGGTCTGTCCAGGGAAGACAACACAACGGACCTAAAATCATTAATTTAATCCTAGACATTAGTGGTATTAATGTGCCAAGTTTCTCTTTTTAATCCGCGGGCAAGAATCTGAAGTGGAAACGAAAGACTCCGCCACGTTGTATTATACTATAGTAGGCTTTTTACTAAACAATTTATTGAATAATAGATTTGAATATAAAATAATAAATACACTGTAGTAACAAGATGAGGTGCAATCTCATGTCTTATCAACTTTGTAGGTGCAAGTAAAAATGTGAACGTATAGTAGTCGATGTATACAACTTGTCATCAAGCTGGAGCGTAGTTTGGGGTTTAGTGGTATTTGAATTTCTAATTGACGTAAGACTGTCTCTTCCATCCTTTGGGAATTTTGGGTAGATAAATATTCCCTTCGCTGTCAAATTCACATCGTCCTTTAGTAACCAATCATTAAGATCCACAGTGGAAATAGGGATTTAGTTGAGAAATATTCCCATGTGTGGGTGGAGGTGTGTTGTCGGGGAGCAATCATGGAAAACTCCCTAGTCCCTCCCATGCTGCATTTGACAACCTGCTGCTGTGATGTTTTGATGAGGTACACATCCACCTGCCGTGTTAGCTGTGCTCATTTGATATTCCTTGGTCGTGCATGGCTTGTGACATTAACGCGAGCGGTTATTCTGTTCAATGTTCAGGCGGATAGTTTTGCACCAGGTGGCCACTTATACGAGTGTAATGTTATTCTTACGGTTCGGTTTGAGGTTCATATCATACATTGAACGAAATCAAATATAAGTGTTACGCGAACCGATGAAACGACAGCAGTTAACGACAGTGATAAAGTAATGGTATTTCTGGCACCCTTACCACGAGTTGTATCTTGGTAAAAACTGGTTTGTGTATCATGAGCACCGGCGCGCATTCCTTCTGTTTATAGATTTAGACAACAACATGAGTTTACACCTTTACACTATTGAGCAGAGTAAACATGTTTTATGGTGGGGCGGAACCAGACTTGAGACAGCCTTCGGTATAATCTGTGGCTACGGTTGTGTTTAGCTGAATATTTAGATAAACAAACTAGTAAATGGCTAACGTAACAAATGTATAATAGTGACAGGTGTGTGAGGGGGGGGGGGCGACCTTGTACTGATACAGGTATTGGCTTATCAATGTGAGATACTGAAAGCTTCACGTGTCAGCCAACATTCATTTGGAGATGTTTCTTTTAATACTTAGAATATTGAATTAAGATTTTTACACGCCAGATGTTTCACCCATTAATTAATTTTATTACATATGACTGGAATATTTTGTCTGCAATGTGTTTTATAACTGGTCGCTGGGAAACGATGCCAAAACACACACACATTCCACAATATTGTTTGTACATAAATTTACTTGTTTATGATATTCGACTGTGTATTTCGGTTTGTGTTTACTGAACTTGTTAACTTATTGCTGTAATTTTATAATACAAATTGCAACTTAAAGTGTAATAAAAGTTGAAATATTGCTTAACTGTGCTATAAAAAGTGAAAGTGGGTGTTTTTACAAGCTTGGCGGGTGAGAGTTAATAAAACACTATATTGTACCACTAGGCCTTCGGTAACCAACTCGGCCGCCTTCCCTTCCCCAACTTAAAAAAAATTATAGTTGTGTACAGCTGGGTGGACTGGGACGCATTAAACGACCTCAAAGGACACCTTTCTCTGTCGGATTTAAGTTTTTCATGAGCGAAGAGAGTAATACTTGAGGTTGTCCCGAGTCCTGACTGGAGGACGTCTGTTCTTTCTCGATTCTACCTCTCCCTCAGGGGTTTCTTCACGATCTAAATGGATCAATAAACCAGGCCTCCCCCAAGGCTAATAAACATGGGGGTTAGTGCTCTTATTCCTTGGTATGGAAGTATCAGGCTGGGTGTAGTAGGAGGGAGGCTAGGATAGGAGTAGTGTCAGGCTGAACCTGTCTGGGTGTTAGTAGCAGGGTTAGGTTAGGGGCAGTATTACCAAGCTAGACGAGTTGTAGTACCCCAAGGTTAGGTGTTGCGGTAGTATTAGTTAACTGTGACAGCAGCTGAATATGTTAATGTAACTTGCAAGTTCATTACTGCCAGTGTAGTAAGTCTGAACATCGGGGTGTAAATAATAATTTTAGGAAGGCTTTCAAACCAACGACAATTTCCTTCTCATCTTTTCCAACCGATCCTCCGGGCCTGGTGTGACCTGTAGTAGGAGGGAGGAGGTGTGTTAGGCTGAGTCCGTCCGCTCGACTCTTCTGACATAACAGGCCGCCCACGGGTTGTTGCTGCACACCTCGGCCCCGCTTCCTGGTGCATATGACATTGCTCTTTCAACAACACCCGTGATTTTTCCCAAGGCGTTTTTTTCGCCATTTATGAAATGTGAAGTTATATTGTTATTAATTTAAAAAAAAATAATCACCAAGCTGAATAAATCAACCGGCGGTATCCGGCTAATCTATTACATAATAACGAAGCTTCATTTTTTTGGTTCGACACAGAGTAACATAAGAGCGTCGGTATAAAGGCTTGGCGTCCAAGCCGGTACGTGTTTTCAGGACGCCCTTGGCAACAGGCGGATTAGAAAGTGGCGCGCATTTCACGTCCGCCGCGCTGTTATTGTTATGGCTGAACTATAATACCTGTAAGTTTCATCGTCAGTTCTGTGTAACCTATCGTATTTCAAGTAAAATGTTGATACATGTACATAAAGTCGACAAAGTTACGGACCTTGATTGCTTGCTATCGCGGGATTGCCTCTCACTACTGTGATGCGATCCTGGTTGGATTCCCGCATGTGTTGGATGTGAGAGGGTTGTACAGTCCAATGTGACCTTAACGAAAATCTCATAGTTTCTCCGGGCAATGTACTATGATTTCCTCTTCTATTAACAAGGCATTGACATGACCAGCTATTAAGTTAAAAATTGCGAATATAACAAGTTAAATCCATATTGCAGTACTTTTTTTTATTACAAATTTCCGATAGGTCCTATTAGTGTTTGTTTTTGTAACGAATGAACATATCAATATACTAAGCATCAACACCTTTATACATGCAGTAATGTGAATGAACATCACGTTGACAGTGTTTTGTTTACTATAGGGGTTGACCTTGACAGGTAACGATGTGTGGTTGGAGACGTGGCACCGCAGCAACTCACTGCGTTCGGTAACAAAATATTTGGCCGTGCGCCCTTTAATAAAATTGTAAGATAAAAATTGCACTTTGTGTAATAATCAAATATACGTCAACTTAAAAAAAATTAATAAAGATAGGGGTATCTTTATATCCAGCTTTAAATCTGTTTTTCAGTTAAGGAAATGGCTCAGCCGAAGTGCGAGTTAAGTGCAGAAAACGAACGATGAGAAACGCTGGCTTCCAGCCAGCGAACCCCTCGCCCCCTTTCTGTCCACTCCAGCACCCACCCACCCGTCACCCTCCAGCCCTGCCGGGTTCCCTTGTTGTACCCGGGGAGACTTTTTTTTTTTATGAAGTTTCAGTTTGGTTCAATACTATAGGAATATTTCACGGATCACATTGAAATTATGTTGCTAACATATCTTAATGATGAAGTATTGGATGTTGTCCCGGGTTATTAATATATTATGAAGCCGAATCAAAATAATTTCCTCCCACCCTGTTAACCATTGACTATATTAAATGTAATTGTTTAATGTATATCTTACTCGACCTACCATTGCCCTGTACAGTTTTGTATCACAGAAATATCACTTTGTTTGAACACAAAAAAGTGACCGAGTTAACAAAAGATTTAGGGGATACTGACCTAAGAAGTAAGTTGGTAAAATTTTAGGGATGCATTTACTGAATATGATTCAAAATATGATAACCAGGTTTAACGAAAACACAAAGTACATTGAGAATGAAAGAGCAGGCTGTTGAGCATGTTATATGCTAGATGTGAATGTTTTATTCATGCATCATATTGTCAACCATGATACACTTACGTCTCAATTTATCAAAGTTTTTATAAATGCAAGTGGTATAAGAACGTGTATTTATTATCGACAGGTGGCGCTTGTACAATACTGTGTAAGAAAGTACTTTACTCATATATATCTTTTGACAGGTGGTGCAGGTGGTAAGGGGACGTGGGGAGCCCTCGGTTCCGAACTAGCTGAGGAGGAGCTAGATGGAGCCATTGACTCCAACGACCCTAACTACGATGAATCCAACCCTGAACATCGAGACTTTAAGCTGAAGGTTATTAATTTGGACAGATCTGACGAAGAACTACAGGTATGTGCCCCTACGTTAAGTTTTTGTTGTTTACAGAAATATAAATGATCTCGTTCACTTATCCATTACAATTTTAAGAAGCCGTGATTATCAAGATTACCACCGGTACTAATAAATTGTATTTACCGTATTCGCCATTTTATACATCTTGCCATTATTTTTGTTATTTTTTTTTTTAAATTTACCCACCTTGCTTTAATTGTGTTATCTGAAATATTTGGAAGTGAAAGATATTGCTAAATGTCATGGTCTCTGTTATGGTTGATTTTACAGTTGCGAGGAAATGTTACTCTAACATAACATGGGTAGGTTAGGGCATCATCTTTCAAGGGCAATGATAGTGTGTACAGTGTACTAATCTCTATTAATGTGAGATGTTATTCATGAATTTTGTTTGAGATTTTGCATTATGTAAGCAGTGGGGCAGCTGTTTACACCATTAATTGTGGAATTAATTTATTAAAGCTTACCGTGTGGGTTTCTTTTACCGTAACTCTAAGAAGCTTATCAACAAAGCTAGTATATACTGTATATATATTAATATTACATTACAGTGAAAACTCCATATAACAAACTTCTCGATATAGTTCATTAGATGGAGGTTTCACATTTAATGGACCCTCGATATACTGGACTTTCTTCTCCATATAGTCCATTAAATAGAGGTTTTACTGTACTGTACAGCTCCTACCCGACTTACGACGGGGTTAAGGACCCAAATCCAGGTTGTAAGTCGAAAATGCTTAAATAATAAATAGAAAATCTAAAATGGGGCTCCTTTTATTTTTCTAAGCACTGCAAAACTCACGTAGGGACTCGGAAAAAAACGTAATTTGACAAAATTTGGGTACGACTGAGGCAAGTTGTAAGTGCGGGTGGTTGTAAGTCGAGTAGGGAGTAGGTCGTAAGTCGGGGAGGAGCTGTATTCCTAATTCTTTGTGGGTGGTTTGTTCAGCATAAACCTCATGAGTAAATGATCAGTTTCACTTCCAGACCACAGTGAGAGGATTTGGGTTCCTTCTTTGTAAACTGCGACTATCCCACGTGCTCTTGGACTAAAATACGAGTATCGTACACTCAGTCTCTGGTGCCCTTGCATTGGTTGAAGTACCTTTTGGTAGACAAGTTTCCTTTCAAGAGGGTGGGGGGTAACCCGATAGCCACTGAATGCTAAAAATTGAATTAGTACTAGTCTATCCACCTCGGGCCCTTGTATGCTTAAAAACAAATTTCTATCCATTTCAGAAACAAATATCATCTCTAGTGGCTGAATATTTCGACCATGGGGATACACACGAGACCTATCTGTCGCTGGAGGAGTTGCAGGTGTCAACTCGAGCGCACTTGGTGTTAGTGACAGCGATTGAGTTGGCCATGGACCACAAGCCCTCTCACCGGGAGATGACCAGTGTCCTCTTGGCTGATCTCTATGGGCACATGCTTTATGAGCCACACTATACCAAAGGTATGTCTACGTTATATAGTTTTTCCCATAGAGTATCCTGTTTGTTTCAGTTATAAAAGGGTGTGTGTGTGTTTACATTATGTTGAAGTCATAAAACATGAAGAGAAGGTCAGTCCCTAATTCTATTTACAAAGCATTTTGTCAAGTTGCCTCAGGTATCATTATTCACATTTAGGACACATGATAACAGAATTGAAAGATTCTAGAGATATAAATAAGGTTAGTTCTTTTGATATTGATTGTTTGCTAAAGACTATACTGAAGTTTCCTTTACAAGACTTCCAGAAGAGAAAGTTAGTTAAAAAAAATATAGGGGAAGGGGAAAATAATGGAGTGAGTACAGTAGTTATGGTATTGGTGACGAGTTCTCATAAATGTATACCTGTAATATGCCTGACAGTCCAATCGCCGTCCACTAAACCCACAATGTTCACAGCAAAAAAGTAGAAATATGAATGTGACGTAAAGCTCAAATGTTTTACTTCTTAAACACTGCCAGTCAAGTTTAATGTTAAAAGAAAGTAGAGTGCTGTGCCATTAATCTCAATTGATGGATATGAGTGTCTTCTTTTACAGGTTATGATGTGCTTATAAAGAACCTCAGTGACCTGGTGCTGGACACTCCGGACGCTCCAACTATCCTGGGCAATTTTATTGCCCGATCCATTGCAGATGATTGCATACCCCCAAAGTTCCTCCAAAGTTATAAAGGCAAAGTGAGTAAAAATCTCCTTGACATAATTAAATCGGTGCCTAGTTGTGGTCTGTGAACTAGAAAGACACTACACTACATTATGATTTACTAGTTTAAATTCTTATAAGTGTTTATACTGTACAGTATACACTATAAATCTTCAACAGAATGGTTCAACAGAACACCACCCTTTAACATAGACCAAAATTTTTGATTGACAATGAAGGGATCTGTTAGGCAGCTGCTAATAAGACCATAAGTTCATTTGAGAAGGAAGGGTTCCAAAGGAGTGTCGCCAATCTTGGAAAAATATGCTGAGTACAGGCGATATTTGAGTTAATTTAATTACTGGAAAAAACATTGCTGTAAGCAGTGTGAAGATTGTTGGTGGGGGTTTTGGAGGGACATAGATTGCATTTGTGGGTTGTACTAGTGGAGGATAATTATTTTGAACTTTTTGGGGGCATGCAAGAATTTCTGGAGTCAAGGAGTGCATCATTATGGCAACTCATGAATTACATCAAGCCAAGGCTGTGGTGTTAGCTCCGGGAAACACCTCGGCAAGGTTGGCTTTAACAGGTCACGACCGCCATTAAAAGGAGTACTGGATGCAATGGTTACCATTTAAGGCAGAAAGTTGTCAAGCCATACCACGTCAGTTGTGTACCATTTGCAACCCAACGATCCATTATTCTTCACCATAATTGGAATCTTACAGGACTCGTCTATTCAGATCCAAGCTGTTTATGACAGATGCTGTTGTATACATTTATTCTTCACCAGATACCTTGATAAAGAACTGCTATACTTAACCTATATTTATTTTGCACTTTTGAGGTTTCATCTCCGCAACAGATTCACTGCATTTTTACTGCCTCCCACTTGGAAGCCTACGCCTGATTCATGAGTCGTCTGACCCAGGCTTGGAGTCATAATTTATGGACTGTTCTTGGAAAATTTATATTAGTGCCAAGTCTGGACTAGGTGACTCGGTTAACCTCCCTCATTCCAGGATGTAAATGTTCTCTGACGGCTGGAACTTAATGGACAAGTTCTTTAAGATTCTACACGAGAGGGAGAATGGACAGGCAGGTCGCTCTCGGTGCAAAACTGATGTAACATCCATGATTCATTAGCCTTTTGGATGAATTAAAATTTTTGCATCCAGTTTTGTCTTTTGAGTGACTTATGATGGGAAGACAAGAGTATTTGAACAAAGGACAAGTTTGAGCTGATCTTGTTTGGTGTTTCCAGAGGCCAACACTGCAGGTGGTCTGGCATAATACATGGATCGTTTAGATCAGATTATTTCGCCATAAAATGGGATTGTGAGGACCAATTCAATATATTTTCCTCAGGAAGTTAACTTTGCTATAGAATGGGGCCCTACAGAAGCTTAACTGAACCTATGAATCTTTTTATTAAAGCTTTCTGTGTTGAACAGGTGGCCTGTGAGCATGCAGTTGTGACTTTAGCAAGATCAGATAGCTTGCTATCCATGCGTCATGGGCTGGTGAGACTGGACAATGTGTGGGGTGTTGGAGGGGGCACTCGCCCTGTTAAGTACCTGGTGAAGAAGATGGTACTCCTTCTAGAGGAGTACCTTTCTTCTTCAGATATTGCAGAGGCTACTAGATGCCTTCAGGAACTGGAGGTGCCTCACTTTCATCATGAATTGGTAATTACTATTTTTTTTTGTTTACTTTTGATTCTGAAGAGTTAGTGCTAAACAGAGTACCGTAGTTAATGATTGCAAGGAAGAGGAACGATCACAGGAGTACTGTACTGTGGTGTTCTTAAGTCACTTTTACTTTATTTTATAGCTTATACATATGTAAACAACCATGACCCGTGAAAGTCTATGATCTGGTTCTCTCTGGTCCCAAGGTTATCAGTGAGTTTTAGAGTGGTTCAACTTGTATGATGCACGATGAAAGCTTACTTTAGAAAATCCTTAAATAAATCATATGAATTAAATCAAGATAACTTATTAACAAGTACTGTATATTTATATCTGTAGTAGAAAACCATAATACAGTGACTCCATCAAGAAAGAAAGTACAGGAGAAAAGGGACCAATGGGTCTGTTAGTCATACTGTATTTGTAGAGAGAATTTTAGGGAATCAAAACTTTCTACACAGGTATACATCATGAATATAAAATAGTATGGAAGATAATCACTTTTGTTCCATCAACAATATATTCTAACTTATTCATATATAGCTGTCTGTGCGTAAACTCTCAATGATAGTTCTTTCTAAATATCACTTCCATAATTGTTACTGAATATAGAATGGCATAGTAAGATATAGTCAGGAAAATGCCGATATACTGTGACAGATTTAGGAACTTTCAGGAATGGCGATTTAATATGTTTATCGAGTCCATCGTGTACGACTAATGAGTGTTTTACGTTTGTACTTGTGCAGGTGTATGAAGCTGTTGTAATGGCGCTAGAAAAGATGGATGACCGTACCTCAAAAATGATGTGTGATTTGCTAGGGTCACTACACTGTGCCATCATCATTACACCGACTCAGATGAAAGCTGGGTTTGTCAGAGTAAGTGAAATGAAATCTGCAATACTTAAAAATTACACTACTAACTCGATCTATTTCCTTAGCAGACACCCTTGCTATAAACTGATGTCCCAAGGTACAGGGGAGTATATGTGAATCTGTTAGTTATCCAATAGGTAATAATTCAGATACCTAGAGAGATTAAAAGCCACCATATGTTAAAATAAAACATTGTCCCTTTGCGTGGCCTCCTATTATTGCCTTTGTTGTGCCACTGTTGTACCCATATGATAATTTTGTTGTGTTTATGTTAAGTACAGAAGTTAAGCTTGTTATAAGAACAGAGTTTTTAGAAGAATTGAATCCAGATTGTAGTACTGTAGTCACAAACCAGGAGTAATGTCTTGGCGATATGTTCTTCGAGGGAGGAGAAAGTATTAAACCAGGCAATATAGGATATTTATAACTTGCTAATTGTCATGGAACTATGAGGGGGAGTTTTGGAAAGTGTCAACTGCACTGTAGGTGTCTGGTTTCACTTTGCATTCAGGAATGCCCCTTTTAACGTACTGTATACAGTACATGTAATGCCCATAATTATGTTGAAATTAAGATGTAACTCGCTGGGGTATATATATATATATATATATATATATATATATATATATATATATATATATATATATATATATATATATATATATATATATATATATATATATATATATATATATATATATATATATATTAACTTATAATAAACTTTGAATTCAATATCAGTTTTGTCTTGTATTAATTTCTCTTTCTCTACAGGTATATGACGATATGCCACAAATCTGTGTGGATGTGCCTCCAGCTTATTCGATTTTGGAGAGATTTGTCATGAGGTGCCATGCTGCCAAGGTTGTTTCTGATGATGTGGTCAAGAAATTACCTGTCAGGTGAGACATCTGCTTTACCTTTTAATAGTTTTAATTCTTAAAAACGTTCTTGTGTTTCAGTGGGTTCTAAGAAAGCCCAGTTTTCCGAACGAGTCGAAGGTCGCTAAACAGAAAATTGACAATCATTAAACGACAAAGGTTTTTAAATACTTAACAGAAATATCGATCACTAAACAAGGGATAACTGTATTTATTTTAAACTTTTGTGGTACCAAATGAATCAAAGTCTTGTTGTTAGAGTAATTAAATTTTAGTTTAATTCACTCTAGTTGAGATGACTTCCTCCTTTTACTATTTTAATCCCTAGAGTTTGGGGTTCCTCTGTGCTTGAATAAAATCATCTGGCATTAGCCAAATATAATATTAAAAGTGGCTTCCCCATAGTGAAGGGGTAACTAATAGCTGTTAGTGGAATGGCCCTTTTCCCCCCAGTCGGAGTTCATTATATGCCCAGCACCTGTTAGTCACCTAGTATCATTACAAGCATCCGGTGACAGCGAGTACAATACAGGGTAGTTGTGATTCACTTGGGCTTGGCATGAGCACCGGAGAGTTGCTCGTTAATCAGTATAAATACCTCCAAGTCACAAATGTCACTTTCAGCACCTGTTCTTTGTTTTACTTGGGGTCACTGTGAGTACGTGTTTGCCACTTGTGACACTTCAGAAAAATATACTACACAATGTATGCTAAGATATCTATTGATTTTTGGCATTGACCAGGTCAGGTCATGACATGATCACAGGAAAAGGGAATACACCATCTCATTGCTGTTTGTTGTTTCCAGTGTTTTAGCACAGTTAGTATTTTCTTAACCTTATAAATATTGTTACTTTAGTAGAGAAAACCAATAATTTTATTTTATTTGCAGGGGCCGTAAACGCTTTGTGTCCGAGGGTGACGGTGGTCGTGTCAAAGATGATGCCTATTTCTAATCAGTCAGCCCACACAACTCTGATGCCACTAAGGAATTTCAATAGCTGGACTCTAGTTTGGTTGTATTATGGACTATGATTTGTTTAATATGTTATTTCTTAGGATGCATTCCTAAAGTCAATGTGAATGATTGATAGTCGAGTATTTTGCACGGAATACTTATTTGGGTATTATGTATTGCGTAAAATGTATTATTTTACTTTGATGTACGCCACTTAGTGTACCCCAAGAGAAAGATTTTTTTTAATTTTTTTGTTTTTTTCCTTTTAAATAATGCAGAGAATTCCTATGTGGCATCCTAGCAAAATTCATCAGATGCAGAGAGGAGACTTGACATCCACAGATACTATCAAAGCTGGTCTCTGTCAATGTGATGGCTGTTGCTGTGTGGACTGAGTTTCCATGTTGTTTGCAAGTATTCAGATTACTGTAATGTGGAATCTTTGATAAGTATGTAACATGTGGAAAAAAAAAAAAGAGTTCTTAACATCATTTGGATCTCACGTGTATGTCAGACATGTTTATCTTCATTTTACTGAAATTGGAAATATAACTGTAATGTAAACAGGTGGAGACTCTGCTTGTACTGTAGTCAGGTAGTGCGTTGCTTAATGTCCCACACCTTATGCTTAATACCACTTCCCTAGACGAAGGCACACGGGTTGGGAACTGTTCTATTTAAGCCAAAGGAAGCCTGTCGTTTTGATGGAGTCCGGAATTCTCAACGCAGGGTATAAAGGATTTGGAAATTTCCAGAATAAAGCAAATTGCAATGGAAAGGAGTAACCTACCCTGTGTGCCCTCCTTTAAGGAATGGGGAGGTTAGCTTGCTCCTGACAGTCTTTTTTGCCAACGTGGTCATTTACTGATAATTGGCAATACATCAAGTACGGTATTGGTTAAAGTGTGAATTGTTTGCTGCGATGAACTTAAACCATAAAATCTATTATTTGTCTGGCACCACGTTGGTGCACCTTAAGCTTTATTGTTCCCTACTGAGCCGTACCTGTGTATCAATCATGCATATACTTGTTGCATATAGCAAAGGATCAGTTGCTCACTTGTGAATACTATTTTTTCTATTGTAAAGACTATGGGTTAGGAAAGCATATAATGTTTTACGGTTAGAGCAAGTTTTCTTTTGACTAAGTGAGATTTATACTCTTGCCAAGTTGAGCAAGAGTTGGAAGTACAAGACTAATTTTAGTTTTGAAACTGCCAAAAATAATAATAAAAAAAAAATTAATATCTCTGGCCATCCCTTAGAGAGGGGCCTGGGACCAGGGAAGAGGATTGGTATAAAATAAATAACTTTGTCAGGATAGATGCATAGTGAGGATAATGAATATATTGTTTAGTTTTTTTCATAATGAAGTAACAATTTTTCTTTTTGAATGTTAACTTTTCAGTGAATGTGCTGACAGGAATCATTCAATTTATATCTTAATTTTTGATTATTACTATTGACCTCACATTTTCAGAATGCATCTGTTTGTGACAGGGTATCATAATTACCTTGGGAGTCATTGAATTGATTGTAACTGCACAAGAAAAAGTACAAAAAAATTGTAAAAGTGAAAAATGATAATAAAAATTGCAAAATAGTTATACTTATAAGGTTTTCCTAACCTTCAAAGACATAATACATGGAACTAAAGCTCTTCTAAACTTTTTGGAATACTTCTCCAACTGCAATGAAGAGAACAAGTACACGTGAACACTATAATTTTCTGTACAATATCTTGTAACCCTTTGGTATGCTACCCCTTATGCAGGTATGTAAATAAATTGTACAGTAGCTAAAACAACTATCTGCGCATACTTTGTGGGAAACAATAAGAGACCATGGACGATAAATTTTGGTATATGAGGGCTGTCACTAGTAACACGTAAAATTTTGGAGCATATCGACCCCCACCTGCACAGACAGTTGTTTTAGCTACTGTACAGTACAGTATTTCCTTTTCTGCCTTCAAAGCCAAGGACCACCTTCAACATTTAACCCTTACAGTTTTACCAAAATCATGCAAATTCACAAACTAGCACTCCCTCCTTCAAGCCCGGATCCCTCTCAACTACATGAAACATAACCATACCAGTAAGAGCTTGTAGTAATTATGGAGATGGAGGCCTGAGCTATATAACAAACTCACATATAAAGAGAACAAATAATTACCACGGAAATTGTTCTTTCAACTGAGAAATTCATCTTTGTTATACATACACAGAACAATTTGTGTCAGAGCTCAGATTAGCTTTTATATATAAACTTTGATTAAGATACAAACAGTAGAGCACGTGTGTGTCCCTTGTGAGGCAACTGACTGGGGTCAAAAGATCTGTACAAGTAGTTGGGTCAATGTGATGCCAGGACAAGTTGCAAAAAGGAAGCTACAGGTTACCTTCTTTGTCCTTTAGTAGCTGGTTAAGGATCGCCCCTCCCCCATGTGTAAAATGGAACACAAAGAACATGAAACTTCCACTGACAATAGCTACCATCCCTACAGCTAATTTCCATTGACAATAGCTACCATCCCTACAGCTAATTTCCACTGATGATGGCTGTCATCCCTACAGCTAACTTCCACTGATGATGACTGCGATTGGAGTTAAGAATGTAATCCATCCTCATGTACTCAGTGAGGATTATGGAGAGAGAAACAGTCCACAGTGTCGAGACCCACCTGATTGCATCTGATAATAGGTGAACCACATCAAGTTCAAAAGTAAGTACATTTAATAAAAAACTGGCTTTGTTTTAAACCATGAAATGCCATTAACTCAAACTACTATATTATGGTAATTGTCTTGAGGACATGTGTTGACAGCTGATACAGACCTGTGACCTTCCAAATACTGCCACATTAAACCTCTGGAGGAAGGTCTTCACTCCCTGCAGCAGTTTGTAATAAGATGATCCAGGTGGGTCAGCCCTACACACAATAAACGACCAGACTCACACCACCGACTTAACACTGTCACCTCAGAGATCCAATACATCCTCAGTCAATAATAATTCTTTGCCTTCCACAATAAAGGCCAAAGAATGTACAGTACAGGTTGACAACCCTTTATCTGAAATTCTGAAAACCGAAAGTTTTTTGTGGAGCATTTTTTTTTTTTTATGGGTATTAGCCCACCCAGGCATGGATCACTGACCCACATTGGGGCCTGGGGGGCGAAAATGTAATAGTAATAGTAATAATAATTATAATAATAATACCTGTAATTATTCATAGTAAATAAAAATTTTAATTAAAAAATACACCAAAATAAAATAATAATGATAACAATAATACTGTATTAATAAAATAATAATAGTAATAATAATACTGTAATAAAGAAATACAAGAATGAAAAAAAGATAAAAAGTGAGTAACACGACCTAGACCTATGAATTATTATTATTACCTGTATTATTATCATTATTATAATTATTATTATATTTTCGCCCCCCAGGCCCCAATGTGGGTCAGTGACTTGTGCCCGGATGGACTAATACCCAAAAAAATTCTAAAAACCGAAAAATTCCAAAATCCGAAATGCCTCTGATCCCAAGGATTTCGTATAAGGGATTGTCAACCTGTAATACTATACTGTAAATGTATAGATTTCTTTGTTACCTGACAGAAGGAAGATGGGATGGCAAGAGAAGGCTGCCTTATAGTTGTGTGTGATCAAGATTTTTTATCAGGACCAGAGTACACTAGTGGACATAAATATCGAAGCACGCTATGGGTGAGTCAACATTAACTTATGATTCACCTTTGTACAAGTCAATGTGTAACAGCCTCTGTCTACAGATAGACAATAATCCTTATATAAATGTGGGCTAGTTACAATTAGTAGTATATAAATTACACTACCCAAATTAACTATATAATTATCAACTACACAAACCTTATCACTACCTCAAGTGTTGGATGACATTTCTATGTCCTCCACACACCTCTGATTGCACAGGTCATCACCAAGTGCCCTGCCCTCAGTGGACTTAACCCCTGTATCTCACACACAACAGACACGTTAAAGGAGTTCTGTAAATTACTTCCTGTATTTTCTCATGAAAAGACTGTTGCTATTATCAGTTAGGTCGTCGATGATAACCACAGTGTGCTATATTTTGGTAAATAAACAGAAAAGGCAAATATTGTTTGTGTGGACATTAACTACCATTAAACAAACACGAAGTCACTACAAGAGTTACAAGGTACAAGTTGGAAGGAACAACAACCAGTACAAACGCAGCGACATCATAACTGATGTACCAGTTATCAACCGTTTGGGCAATTTGTCTGTTCTTTTTATGACCTTCATTGTCCAGAGTCAGCACAGGAGGAAACTGTAATACCCAGAGAAAACTTGCCATATTTGGTAGTGTCACACTAGATAACATAAGTACATAAGAATGGATGAAACTGTAGCGGGCCTATTGGCCCATACTGGGCAGTCCCGTTTACACCCAACCCCTATTGCTCATATATCCATCCAACCTATATTTGAAGCTACCCAGTGTGTTAAGAGTTAATGACGATGTTTAGTAACTTGTTTTGTTCATCCACTACTCTATTTCCAAACCACCGTATACCTATCTCGCATCTAAATCTTAACTTTCTAATTCAAAACCATTGCTATGAGTTTGCTCCTGGTTTGATAGTTTATGCACCTTTGTTTAACTGTGACTTCCATTTATACACCTCGATCATACCGCCCCTCACTCTACATCTCTCGAGGGAGTGCAAATTAAGATACTTTAATGTCTCTGTACTCAAGGTTCCTAATGCCTGGGATTAGTCTTGTCGTCATCCTCCTCTGTATGCTTTCTAGGGATTCAATATCCATTCTGTAATACGGTAACAAGAAATGAACCGCGTAATCCAGTGAGGTCTCACAAGTGAAAGATATAGTTTTAGGATAACCTTGCTAGTCTTGTAACTAACACTCCTTTGTAAGAACCCAAGTACTTTGTTAGCCTTGTTTCGAGCAAATACACATCGTTGTCTTGGTTTAAGGTCCCTACTTATCAATACCCTTAAATCTTTTTCCCAGTTGGATTTCTCTATAACATCGCTGTTCATCTGATATCTGGTTTCTCTGTTTACTTGTACATCTCCTTGGCTAAGTACTTTACATTTCCCAAGCTGGATAATGAACCCAGGACACAAGCAATATCAACACCCCACTAAAGACATACAACTCCTGATATTGAGAGACAATCACCAGTCTATTGGCATGAAGACAATAAACAATATTTTCTATATTGTACAATTTCCTGAAAATATTTGTATTCCAGGTATTAATCACATGCATTGTCAACTCAGTGCTGCCTGTCATGGCATTAATTAAAGTACTGAGTTTAATCAAACATATACAGTGGGGGTATGCTATAACGAACGGATCCTACTACGAATATTCCTATAACGAACAGTTTTACCTTTAAAATTGAGAATGCTATAACGAACGAAACTCCTACAACGAACATTTAATTTTTTTTTTTTACTAATTTATTGTTTTTTTATTTCAAGTATTAATGATATTCTTTATTTCAGGGGTTTAGATGCATATTTATGCACTTTTTTACAATTTTTACAATTTTATATTATATTTTTCAGTGTTAAGTGGTTGTATTTGGGGGCCTGGAACAGATTAATCCTATAACGAACGAATGCTATAACGAACAAGGTTCTAGAACCAATTAGATTCGTTATAGCATACCCCACTGTGCTGTATCATTAAAACCTGATTAGATTGGCCTCAGAGTATATAGACTGCAATCGTAATAAGTCCCAACCTAACCATTTGATTGTGGCTCAGTCCTGTTGGGCCTTAATGCTAATGGCTTGGTAGATTATGGTGGGGCCTTTAAGGACTGGATTCTATTTAACCTTCAACCAATGACATTAATTTTGAGGTATTCTTGATGATTGAACTCAATTCTTTAATACCAATTTTGGTTAGTGGTGCTGTCTACACTACTGTACATATAAGACAGATAGACAGAGGGACTGAAAGATGTACGGTAGATAGATGGTATGAGAGATAGACTAATAGATAAACTGACAGATGTACCATATTTCCCACCATATAAAATGTACTTTTTACTAAACAAATGTCTCCAGAATTCATCCCGCATCATATATGACAATAGTCAGTCCTGTGTCCACTAACTCTTGCAGTTTCTCTTGTCAGGATTTTAACTCAGTACTGTGTCATTTCTTACAACCTCTCCCCATGTCATTCTTGGCCTACCCCTGGCTCTCCTCCCCTCTATGTTTAGACTCATGCACCTCTTGGCCAAACTGGTCTCATCCATTCTCTCCACATGTCTGAACCATCTCGACCTACCTCTAAGCAAAACCTCACCAATACTCTCAATACCCAGCTGCCCTCTTAGTTCTGAACAGGGATTCTTATCTATCAGTGTCACATTGCACATCCACCACACCATTCTCATGTTAGCTCCCTCAAGACTGAATGCCATCCTCTTTAACTGCCCAAGTGCCCATTTCATTGATATATATCATCACACTTCTCACACCAGTTGTATGCATTCTTCCTTTCAAGTGAAGGGAAAGTCCTCTTGCTGACAATAAAAGCAGCAACTCCCCAA